ATCAGGCTTAATATAATTCTTAAACTAAAAGAAGCGATCAATTCATGCATGGTGCCTACAGACTTTGGAATTTGGTTTATATGAAATGTATAACTTTGTTACTTCCCAGACAAACTGCTTTGGTCTCTAAGAAGGACATTTAATTAGGAACATCCAGACTCAGCATGTTTTATTCATAAATAAATTGCAAGTTTCTACATTAGTTTAAAATAGAACTATATATTTTATATAGTTTTATATAAAGACAATCTCTTACTCTAGAATAATCGCAAAAACTTATTCTTTGAAGCTAAGTGCAGCCTATGCTGAACCACTGTTTCAATGCAATATATACCGCCCTTAAGTGGACTTAGAAGTGGAACGTTCTTAACATTTGTTTTGACCTCCCAAAACCATATTTCTGATTTCATTTCTTTGATTGGTTTGTTCGGGGGGTGAAGTTGGGGCCTTAAAGGATACCCAAACTACTACTGTTATAGGCCTTTAGGAATGGAAATAGGGCTTTTAAAAGAAAATTATAATATACATATATAAATTTCAGTGGAGGCTCTGAAATGGCCTTGGCAACTGCAAAAAAATGCCCTGAGGGTCATATGCAGCCTGTAGGTCCACCCCAACAAAAATGTTGTCCACTCCAACAAAAATAAACTTCAGGGCATCTGTATATCTTTTCTTCCTGAACACAACATTTGCTTTATTTGTGAATTAGAAATAAGTGACAAATTAGTTATCTTTGGTGTTCTTTGAAATTAATAAAGGAATCTCTCTAGTTTTTTTCTCAGTGCAGCAACATGGTCTGAATTTTTGGAAGGGCAATTTATGAGTTAGGCAAGATCTTTAATGCATAAGCTGATAAATACCTTGGCCTTAATGTCCTCTTAAGTACAGTACTGATAACACACTGGGCCATTGGCTTGATTGGTCCCACTTGTAGAAGGAGCAGCTTAAAACATCTTTGTTTCATGATATGTTCCCTCATGTGAATGCAGGGGCTGTTTCTTCTCTGCTTTGTTACTTTCCCAACAAACCAGAGAAGAAATCCAAGATTTGTTTTAGATTTATTTGTCTGGTTTCTTGAGAAAGGAAGAGGCCAGAAAGGGGATAAGCTTCACCATTCAGATGATACAGTAAACAAATGTCAAGATAAAAACCTGTTACTACAGACTTTGTTTAATAGTAATCAGTTTTTTAAGTCAGTTAATAATATGTAATATGGTTCAAATAAAAATGTATTTGACTGAATGATAGAAATACTAGAATCATGTAGTACTGGTAACATGGCAAATTTATACCAGTTGTTCCAAAGCGGGGGGGGGGGGCCCAGGGTTTCATGCATCCTTATGGCTAGGACAGGACCACACTATGGATAAAGAATCTGCTTCTTACAAAGGGTCTCATGAAGTGTACTGGATATTATGATCTTCAGTTTGTAATTTTGCTTGTGGGGAGGAATACCAAATTGAATAGATGTATACTTGTACATTTTTATCAAATTCATGCATGGCTAGATACTTTCCTGCAATTCCATTTTTCAATTAAATATGCAGATTGTATGCTAACTGAATATAGCACAAACAATGAATTATGTTTAACAACTAGAACAATTTTCATGTATATTGGTGGTTCTTGTTTTTTTTCTAAAGAGTACATCTCATGTTGATGAAAGCTTTGAAAATGTTTGCACAAAATTAGAATAACTGCACCCTGTACTTCCCTTTTTCTTCACACAATCGCTGCTCAAGCTTTACAAATTTATTTGATGACATATCGGCCCCAAGCCTTCCTTTTCCACTGCCACCTCAAACACAGTCAACCACCATTACCATTTCTAGTGAAAAAGATCACCCAGAAAGTAGGCAGCTAGATGTGCAGCATAATTCTATACATTAGGTTCTGTTTTTTTTCTGTTATGTTCTGTTTATGTTTGGATAACTGTGCAGGTGACTGCATTCCAGTTTGTTTAATATTTATATACCATAGTTTTATCCAGTAATATTTTAAGGATAAATATAATGCTATATGCATGTAGAAATAAAAAATAATAATTACTCTAGAGTCTTAAGAAGCAAATTAATGATTCCTTCCACCCAGTCAGTCTCCTGTACCCATAATTCCAACAATACTGCAGAGTTTGTGTCTGAAACTTGCAATATGGTTTTCCTATGAAGCCTGATTATTTGTGGTTTTTTTGTTTTATTTATCATTATTTTTATAAGAAGAACAATGCTGAATTGCTATTGAGTGAAATTCTGTTGCTTAGAGTAGCAAGTCACAAGTATAGTCCCACTGAATCTATGAAATTTACAGAGGAATTGACCCACCAGGCTCCCACTAATTAAGTGTGTTTACTCTAGTTGCAACTTACTACACTAAACAACAAGATTTCAGCCACTGTGTAGTAAATAGGACATTTCTGTTTTCATTTTCTCATCAGTTAACTTCAGTGAGCCATAGGCTCTATGGCTGAAAACCTATTGTTTAGTGTAGTTGTAACGGGCAGACATAACATCACATGTCCGTCACAGCTGGGCAGTGAGTCATCAGCCTATGGTGTGACGGAGGGTGGAACTTAAGGGGAGGAGCTAGTATAAAAAGGGGGGGTGAAGAGTGTGTGAGGGAGATTGTAGATGAGAGTCTGAGCTGAGAGTTTAAAGTGTTTAGTATTTAGAGTGAGTGAGTGAGCCTGTCAGTGGAGAAATAGTCTGTGGGAGCCAGTGCTTATTAACAGTGATTGTTTAATTGATTCTTCACCAGTGATTTACCATTTTTATTTTTGTAATCAATAAATCAGATTTTGTTTTGAAAAGTTACACTTGTCCTTTTATGATTTTGATTTTAAGGATAAGTTGGTGGCAGCAGAGGTTTTTAAAGTGAAGTAGCAACCGCTCTGGGAAGTGCAAGTGTGGCTGTTACAGTAGTAAATTACAACTAGAGTAGGATTATTGAATCAGTGAAACCTATGGAAGAGTTGACTAGCCAAATCTTCCCTAACATTTTGACTTACTATGCTAAGCACAGGATTTCAACCTATGTGTAAGAAAAATATAAGCCATTCTATAGAGATGTTTGCAGGGATTTGCTGACATGATGCATATAAAATGCTTTGAACACTTAAATAAATGCTATGTTGGTAGCTGTTTTGTTATTATGAATGTCCTTAATGTAGAAATGTGTGCTTCTTATTTTGGCTTTAAATAGTAATCTTTGCATTTCAAAACAACTTCAATTTAGAATATGTGAGGACAATGAGTATTGCAAACAGCTATAATCCTACTTCTAAACACAACCAAACAATAAGCTACAGAATTGCAAAATATAGTTTAGTTATCTTTTGGCAACTATATCATAAGATACATATTTTTTTAAAGTATCCTGCCCAAGTAAAGAAGTTGATACTGTTTTTGTGTGTTATTTCTGGCGCTTCTAGTCTCATTCATTTGAACAGTATGACAATTTAGGAGTAGTCCCATTTTGTTGTACCTGATAACACAGGATGGTCCCTTCAACAACAGTGTGATCTTTATCAGTCAAGAAAAGCTGTTTATTACTCTGTGTTTGATATTGAATGGAGAAGACTATTTAATGATTCTGCTTGCACAAGATCCTATGAGATTTTTGACAATTATTTGCTTACAATGCAGCTTTGAACAGCACAGTCCACATTGTTAAGTAGGGCTTACCAACTCTCTCTGGAGATGCTGCTTTGAGGTGAGCTTGTGACTATAGATTGGAAGAAGGGGCAGAGAAAGTTCAGTTGCATGAGCTGCTTTCTTTTTCTTTTTTTTTTACAACCATTGGATGTTACTCAGTCAAAGGTTTTCTGCATATGGGGTAAATGGCATTTTGTACACTTACAAAATGTGTAGCTTCTCATTCACTGTTATTTTATTTTATTTATTAAATTTCTGTACCATACCACCAAGTGGCATGCCACTGCTCTCAGTGGTTTCCGACATAAACATTTTTTTTAAAAAAAAATAACCATCCTTCACCCAAACCACAGTAATGCGAAGAAAGGAACAACATCCCTGATAATCCAAGATGGCAGCAACAGACACAAAAATACCATCAACTTATTAGGATAAATAAAAATAAGTAATAATTTTGGGGTCAAATGAGATAATACACTTAGCATATTGGTAGAAACTGTGTTTCTTTAAGTGCCAAAAGACATAAGTTTGTTTTATCACACACTTTGCATGAATCCTGCATTCCAGTGAGCCGTTATTTTGTGATTGGTCAGTTTGAAGTAAACAAAAGTGTGCTGTTTATATACCACCCCATAGCACTTGTCACACTCTTTGGGTGGTTTACAAGTTAATTATGCAGGCCACACAGTTAAACAAAGATTTCATTGCAAATGTGACTGCCTACCTCATATCTCCTTAGAAATCATGTTGTGGGTTTTAAAAAAAAAGTTATGGGCAAGTAACAGGCATTTCCCCAAAAGTCTAGCTTGACATTTAAACAAGGTATGTGGTCAGAGTTTTGCAGAAGCATGAACTTTGAATATGGATTTATAATAATGGGCCTAGTTACCATACACATTAAGACTAAATGTATGTACATAGTGAATCTAGTGAAAAAGTAGTATGATTAAAACTGATTAGCTGTTGTTCGAGAGGCTCTGTGGTTTTATCCAGCAATCCAAACAAAATGTGATCAAAAGGATCACAAAATGTATTACAGAATATAAATATAATTGTACATCAAGAGAAGTTAGCTTTGTTTACAAATGATTCTCTTGGATTTAAATGCAGACTATGTCTCTTACATATACTAAACAATGTAATAATGTAAACTGTATCTTCCCTGAAATGCACTAAGATATTGGACATGCTCTGTTAATTAGTGTAACAAAGCGTTATTACTAACCATTTTCTTCTTTCTCTTCATACCTCATTCCTCTTTTGCCCATATCATTCCATATCTCTCTCTCTCTCTCTCTCTCTCTCTCCCTTACATTTTGTATATTATTTTGGTGCCCTTCAATTCTTCAGTGTGACCAAGATCAGTGCATTCAGAGCACTAAATTCGTTTTACAGGCTGCTGCCACACCTCTTCTCCAGAGCGAACCCAGCATAAATAGTGAAGAACTTTCTTTATCAGGAAAGACCTCTATCAGTGCTCCTTGTGCTTCATTAACACTAGGGCAGCCAACACCACCTTCCTCAATGCCAAATCTCACATCAGAAACAGCTCTGGCAGACATGATACCATTACAGGAAGACCCTGAATGTCATCAGTTTCTTACTCCTGAAGAAGCTCCATCACCACCTCGGATGTTGCCATTTGGGAGTCCTATGACCTACAGCCGTACCATGCATATCCTCAGTCTAGCCAGCCAAGACTCACTGCATGAAGACTCAATACGCGGCCTTGTAAAACTTAGCTCAGTTTGAGAAATGTTAAATGTGACAGTGTTTATTAAACCACTGATTTACCAATAACAAAAAAATTGCAATGCCACTTTTGGACTCTGTGAGGTATGTAAGTCACTAAAATGTTGCTATGTAATAAAGTCTACTAAAAGGAGAAATATTTTTGTGGAGTGGAATTACAGTGTTCTGTAGCCAAGTTGTTGGTGGCTTGGATTTAGTGGTAATATTTATTTAAGTAACAGAAATATATGTTACACTTACTTGGTGACTAATGCCATCTGGCAGCTTGGAATCTTGGAACTACAAAGTTAATTATTACAGTACCTAAAAATATTACTGGAAGTAAGCATCATATGCCATGTTTTATAAAGTTCTTTGTGTAATATGGCATTTGTAGCCAAATGGACCACCCTTTTCTTGTTCCTGTGCTACAGATATTTGAAACTGAAACTTGCCATTAAGTTAGCATAAAACTGGTAAGGTTTGCAATTGTGGATTTGCATGCCACGCTACAGTGTATGTTACAGTAGTGTTGGTAATGACAGAAAGTGCTGCTTTATTATTGTGAGTTCCAAGTGCTGTTTCATGTAAGCAACAGTACAGCAAACTAATGACAAGTGGTTTTTTTAAAATCGGTTTGCTCAAGGTGGTTACAAATAAATGAATTGGTAGTACTTCAAATGTGTAGGGCTACCAATTTTTGCATATCACTTCACTTTGAATTCTAAAATAACATAATTGCATTGTGCCATACCATATATTTCTCTCTTCCTTCATCTCCATATGGGATCACATTAAATGTGGTCATCCACGATTTCTTTGAAAAAGTGTATTGTTAGATCCATACAGCAAAATAGCTGGTGATACAATTAAGAAACCCAAAGGGATACCTAAAACTCAATAATGCATTTTTTTAACAATATGCATGATTTTATATCTCACTAATCTAATCTTAGGGCACAATTTGCCTATACGTGACCTGAGTGTAGCTTGTGGATTGAATTCTGAAGTCCCTTTTAGTCACAGAAAGGACTTTGATCCAACTCCTGCAAAGAGAAAGTAGGTGCTGTCACTGATATTTCCCTACAGCCTCTGAAAACCTGTTTTAGAAGAGTTTAGAGCCCTCCAGAACAGTGTGGAGGTAGAGGGACTTGGGTAATGGGCAAAATATGACCTTCCCATGTCTTCTAATTGCAAGAATCACTGCCAGATCAGCAGCCTTTGCAATTGCAGAAGGCTGATTTGGAGCCATCCAAGTATCTCCTTTTGAAAGCCATAGCCAGGTTACCAAAAGTAATTTCCCAAGTAGGAGATTTTCAAGGTAAGGATGTCAAGGTTCTAGGCTTTGGCAAAGAAAGATATGTCACTGAAATGTAATATATGTGATCAAGAACTGCCATCCTGATAGGATCATCCTCAATTATATATTTCCCTTTTAATTTAAACTTTATTTATTTATGGCAGAAAATTATTTGATGGTTTTAATTTGAGGTTAGGATAAATTAGTTTTGACTTTACAGATTCCCCTCAGGGAGTAGCCTGAAACAACATACAACAAGAATTCAAATGCTTTTATATTGCTGCATCTTGCTTTGCTTTTTAAGATGCTAGGACCTGCAATAATCTTTTCTCAGGACAACAATGCAAAGTACTTTTTAAAAAGTATCAATGCAGGCAACTGCTTTTAAAAATTAGGTTTATGAAGGCACTGAATTTATTGCATTTCTGAGAGCATGAAAAAATAACATTAAAAGAAAATTAAAAGCACAATGTTTTAATTGGATTAAGGCCATCTCTTACAGAAGTGCCAGATTATATACTGGCAAAAAACCTCACACTGTGTATAATTTTATACAAGATATTATTTTTCTCTGAGCAGTGACACGGACTCCAACTTTATTTGCATGTATAGAAAATAATAGTTTTTTTAAATATGTACTGGTTCCAAATTGTTTCCATTTTGCAGAAAGCTATGCATGGTCTGCAGTTATCTGATTGTGAGCCATTAAAATGTAATGGTCTTGAGCCATTAAAACGTTTACAACCTTTCATATAAAGGGATATTGCCTCTTTTTCTTTGTGACCTCTTATAATTTCTTTAAAATCCTGCATACACTATTTCTTTCAGAGCGTGTGTATTCCTAAGAAAAAGAAAAAACCTACTTTTTAGGTGAATTTTCTTGGTTTAAAGTTTGATTACTGTGCTAGCAGGCATTAGAAAATCCTAAAGAGCTGTTAAGTAACAATGTAACAGCAATAAGCACACCAAGAATTTTTCAGTGCAGAGGAATGAGGTTGACTCTTTGTAAAAACCCCTGATAACATATTTTGCTGTCTCCCTACAACAGTCAACACAAATCAGAGGCAACCATCCTAAATCAGGTTTTCAAGTGAGTGAGCTAATGATCTTCTAAAGTGCAGTAACACATAATAAATATTTAACACAGCATATCCTGGATTTTGGGTGCAGGGGGGGAGGATTTTGATTTCTGGCTATCCTACCTTACTCTGCTAAATCCTTCAATTTGCTACAGTGTACTAAAGTGATACTTCCTATTGGTGAGGAAGAGAGTAACAAGTATGTGCCATTTGGCATATTTCGTTAAAACAGGAATTTAGCCATTTCTGACAGGAGAAGGAGAAGGTCCATATAGGCAATTACATTGGATTATTTTAAAAGACTATTTAATTAGCTTAATGTTTAATAAAACACATCTTAATGTTTTACTAACTCTGAAGACACAGGAACACAGAGTTGCTGTTCCCTACAGTGCAGAAAATTCAAGAATAATAAAATATTTTACTCTGCAGTAATGACTTCATAGCTCTGAAGCTTAAGCAAATGAGAAGTATTTAAAAATTGGTTGTTGTGGGGTTTTTGGGCTCTTTGGCCATGTTCTGAGGGTTGTTCTTCCTAACATTTCACCAGTCTCTGTGGCCGGCATCTTCAGAGGACAGCACTCTGTGCTCTGGTTTAAAAATTCATCTGCTTACATTTTCAGATAATTTTTTTAATAGTTTCTAGATACTGCTGTCATTAGGAAATAGCAATATGGTGTATGTCCATTAAACAGTTCTGGTAGTATTTTTAATGTGGCAAGAGTTCAGAATTTTGTCATGCAGTTATTTATAAGCATCCCCCCCCCCCCCCCCCGTTAAAGCTTTAAAATGCTGCATTGCTACATTAGGATATCTTCTTTGGTTTACTTTGCACTTGAGGGAAATAAAATGTTTGATGACAGAAAAAGTACTGTGAATACCTATTTTAGAACAAATATATTCTTTGTTTGCATTGATGTACAGTAATTTTTGCTGTTTATAATATTTTTGACTTCGTGTTGAAGAATAAAAATACAGCATTTTTAAGCATTAACTTTTGTCTTAAGATTTTTCATTTACCTTAATTTGAAACTGGTGTTTTCTCTCCAGTGTCCTTAATATAGCTGGTTATTATGGTTAACATGACCTTTTAGATATTTTACTGTTGCTTTATGATGACATCTGCTGGGAAACAATGGAATTGAGTATGCGTTTCTCTTAATTGTAATTTTGACATCTTAAATATAGTTTAATAATAATAATAATAATCTTTGCAGTTACTTTGAAAGAACAGCAGTTAACATTTCCAATGTACCGATCTCTCGTGTCCTGCTTTTTGTAGTAGAACACTAGTACATTAAATGAACTACTGAATCTCTCTCTCTCTCTCTTCCACCGCAGTGGGTTAGATATCTGGTTGGGAATTCAGTTCCCCAGTTTGTCTTCTTGATGGCTGGACTTAAGGACCCATAGGGAATCTTCCAGCTCTATCTCTGTACATGTATCGTGGTGTGTGTGTGTGTGTGTGTGTGTGTGTGTGTGTGTGTGTGTGTGTGTGTGTGTGTGTGTGTGTGTGTGTGTGTGTGTGTGTGTGTGTGTGTGTGTGTGTGAAAAGTGAGTACACACCTGACAGTGTTCAAATTGGGCATAAAGGATCAATATTTTGTGTGGCCACCATTATTTTCCAGCACTGCCTTAATCCTCTTGGGCATAGAGTTCACCAGAGCTTCTCAGATTGCCACTGGAGTCCTCTTCCACATGTCCATGACGACATCACAGAGCTGGTGGATGTTAGAGACCTTGCGCACCCCCACCTTCTGTTTCAGGATGCCCCACAGATGCTCAATAGGGTTTAGGTCTGGAGACATGCTTGGCCAGTCCATCACCTTTACCCTCAGCTTTTTAAGCAAGAAGGCAGTGGTCATTTTGGAGGGGTGTTTGGGGTCGTAATCATGTTGGAATACTGTCCTACAGCCCAGTCTCCGAAGGGAGGGAGTATGTCACAGTACATGTTGGCATTTATGGTTCCCTCAATGAACTGTATCTCCCCAGTTCCGGGAGCACTCATGCAGCCCCAAACCATGATACTCCCACCACCATGCTAGACTGCAGGCACAACACACTTGTCTTTGCTCTCCTCACCTGGTTGCCACCACACACACTAGACACAAATTGAACCAAATAAATTTATCTTGGTCTCATTGGACCACAGGACATGGTTCCAGAAATCCATGTCGTTTGCCTGCTTGTCTGCAGCAAACTGTATGCAGACAAGCATAATCTTTAGAAGAGGCTTCCTTCTGAGATGACAGCCTTGGAGACCTTTGATGCAGTGTGTGGTGTGTGGTCTGAGCACAGACGGGCTGACCCCCCACCCCTTCAACCTCTGTAGCAATGTTGGCAGCACTCATATGTCTATTTCCCAAAGCCAACCTCTGCATATGACACTGAGCACAGGCACTCAGCTTCTTTGGTTGACCATGGTGAGGCCTGTTCTGAATGGAACCTGTCCTGTTAAACTGTTGTATGGTCTTGGCCACCGTGCTGCAGCTCAGTTTCAGGGGTTTGGCAATGTTCTTATAGCCTAGGCCATCTTTATGAAGAGTAACAATTTGTTTTTTTCAGATCCTCAGATAGTTCATTACCATGAGGTGCCATGTGGAATTTCCAGTGACCAGCCTGAGAGAGTGAGAGCGATAACACCTGCTCCCCCTTCACACCTGAGACTTGTGCCACTTAACAGGTCTCATGACACCAGGGAGAGAAAATTGGGCCCAGTTTGGACATTGTCACTTAGGGTTGTATTCACTTTTGTTGCCTGCAGCTTAGACTTTAATGGCTGTGTGTTGCATTATTTTGAGGAGGAGACAGCAAATGTACACCATTATGCAAGCTGTATACTCACAGCATTACATTGTAGCCAAGTGTCATTTCTTCACATGAAAAGATATACTAAAATATTTATGAAATGTGAGGGGGTGTACTCACGTCTGATATACTGTATGTAATGTGTGATTGCTACATAATACAAGAATTTATCTATAAACATAAAAATGAATTTCATTTAAGTTTTAAAAAGCACAACAACAGGTCAGGTAAAGTATATCTATGTTCACAAATACTGATATACATCCCCCCTATCAGGAAAAGGGTTCAGTTCAAAAAGATAGCTGTTATTAAAAATAAATTGCCAGCCATAGCACCAAGCTAAGTGAAGCCAGAGAGAAAACACTGGGAAAGGATTGCAGAAAGGTCAGTAAGAAATGTATAGTGCTTCTGTGCCATCACTTTATATAGAGAGTATGATCCAATATTGCATGAGTTAAGTTCTTAAGAGGAAGATCTCTTTCTCTCTGCTCTGTGTTCCCCCCACCCAAAGCCTTGCCCAGCCTTCTGGAGCAAAGCAGAATGCAAGGAGGAGAGGGAATTGCCCGCTTCACCTTTCTACTTAGAGAAACTGTTCTTTTTCTGGAAGAGACTGAATCTGGCCTCCTAGGATATCTTGATGGCCATACTCCCTCCCTCACAATACCATAATTTGGTGGTTTCCTGATGCAAAGGGGTATGCCTCATTCAAAGGGATAGGGACTAAAAAATACACACCAATGTAAGTCATCATTTGGAAGGAGTCTCTGAAACAGTGATCAACGTAACCAGAAAACATTTCTTTTAAACTGTTTATATCTCATCTCCACTAGACAGTTCGCATCACTATTTTCTCTGTACGGAATTAGTTCCAGTCCACTGAGTCACTTGTAAAGGGGTGGGGAGAGGTTACCTTCAACTTACCCCATACTCAAGACTGTCCAAATAGTATTCAAGGTTTCTAAATCCTTAGGTTCTTTTCATGGATGTCTGTGTCCACCTGTTGCAGGTACATCAACTGTCTGTCATGATGGCAGTGGCACAGAAGGGTCAGGGACAGTTCTATCACAATAGCAAGGTCCTCCCTCAGATGTGACTCCCAGTCTGACCTCAGCCTTATGGTTTCTCCAGAGTCCTGTATAGTTAGCATAGTTAGTCCTTTCAATAGGGAATAAAGAAGCAAGTAGCCCAGAGGAATCCATGGATGGCTAACGGAACACGGAGGTAGACCTTTCCTGTGGGCCCAAACTCACCCAGTTACACCCAGCTTTTGCACAATTTCTTCCCATTCAAAAATGTTGACATGTCTTAACTCAGAAACAGGCAGGGAGTTCTGTAAGCTAAAATACACTGGTATTTTGGGTCCCCCTTTTTTGCATTCAGCCCTGCAGACCACTACATGCAAGCACCAAGAACCTCTCTTGAATTGAATTAGGGATTTAGGCTGAAGGAAGCTCCTCACCTTTGTGTTAGAAGGATGAGCTAGCTGGAATCTAGCTGGTAAATATGACTATTTATAGACATTGTGAGACAAGGAGCCCCTATTAGAACAGAGTTAATTAACATTTGATAAAATTACTATGGTTAATAGGATTCCATTTCCAAGGAAACTGCTGCTGACGACTCTCAGGGAGCAACCAGAAGTTCTGCTTTGAACCTTAGTTGGGCTGCTGTATCTTAAGATACTAGTTTGGTGTTATGCTGAATACCTTTTTTTTTTTTTTTTTTTGCCTTGTCAGTTACAGCCAGAGCTTGGAAAAAATATTTTTGGATTACAGTTTCCAGAATCTCCTAGTAGCCATTGTAGCTGGCAAACTTACAAAGGCCAGTGCAAAAAGGATCGTTTTCCAAGACTTAATTATAACAGAATTGCATCAGCTTAAATATCACTGCTATATTTTTTGTTCAAGTGATAGAAGAGAGATCTTGTCACATGATCCTTTAAGCTTTGCATTGCAGGAAACAGGAAATATTAGTCACTGTAGTCACTGTTTGGGATTTCAGTGAACTCTGTATGAATCTTGTAGTCTTGACAAATTACCTTGGGTTGGCTGTAGGAAGAGAGAGCACAAAATCAACATGCATCGCCCAGAACATTAGTTTATTGCACTTAATATGCACACTTCAGTTTCTGGTACTCTATATAGTTCAGTGATTTAGGTATCTGGGTTGGGAATTCAGTTCCCCACTGTGCCTCCTGGGAGAAGAGCCAGCTGATGTAGTCATGGGCAAATCTTCTGGGGGAGTCCCAGGGCTCCCCCAGAAGAAGGTAATTGTAACCCAGTTCTGTGTACAGTATTATTTTCCTAGAAAATCGTGGAAAGGGTTCCATAAGTCAGAATTGAATTGAGAGCACACAATTTCTTTTTTTTAAATAACTATGTCTTTAAATGCACCAAACTAAATCTTTGTAGCTAATAATACAGTAATCCATTTTATTATGTTTTATAATTTGAAATATATTTCTAAAACTTGAATATATTGTAATTTGCTTTCCATGTGATTTTGCCTGGAATTTTGCAAACAATAAATTCCATCACAACATGTTGATGTAATTGTGAGGACCCAAGATAAATACAACACAGGTCAAATGTTCTAACCTTATGTGTGCTAATTGCTGTATTTAACTCCTAGGTTTNCTTGGTTTTGTGTTTGTTTCCCCCCCCCCCCCCAGAGGATATACATCCATACCAGGAAATGAATTGAGCAAAGGATCTGTTGTTTTTAAATTAAGTTATTTAGCATTATTTATTTATTCCTCTTTGGGTCCCACTAATGAGTCCTACTGAATGAATAAAGGCCATACAGCAATAATGACTGGCAGATTATGATTTAAAGTAGGGCACAAGCCATGCACAAGTTCAGAAACTAAGTGCCTATATAGACTGATTGCTGGGCAAATGAAGGAATTCAATTTAGATATGTATGGATCATTGTAAACCTCTTCTCAAAATATATTGGAAATGTTCTAAATAAAAGCATGGATTAATAAAACCATAAAGCAAAAAGAGTCCCTTCCTATACGAATTAATATTTAACATGTTCTCATTTATAACATTTCTCAAAAATGGTTCCTACTCTGTCTGCTGTTTATGCAGTTCAGGAAAAAAAAGAGTTCTTCTTCGTGGCCTCTGTGAATATACACATATGGGTTTAGTCTGCGCCTGCGCTGACATTCTCGGAGCATTCCAGAGCTAAAAGTAACAATTTTATGGGATGATCCCCCATGAGGCACACGCTCCTCCCACCCAAGATTCCCCTCAGTTCCTTTTTTCTGCCTTGCTGTAAAGTTCTACAGAGTCATAGAGCTATTTCCACAGGGTTTTTCCCTTAGCTTACTGATCAATTCCCTCTAAATTGAATTTTTCCCCTTCTCAATTATCTATCTACGATCCCCCGTGAGTTGTTTTCATTTTTGCTTGCCAGCCATTTGGCTCCCCCCCCCACTCACACACACTTCAACTGTTTACTTCTTTCTCCTTTCCCGCCTTTTTCGGCTTCCTCATTTTGACTTAGGCACATTAATGATTTTCTGCCTGAGTAAGCTACATCTTACCCAGATAGGTACAGCCTTTACCCCGCTTTTTCGGCTACTGCAACTGTCTAGTCACCTGAAAAATAGATCGGGTGACACTCCCGGTTTCCTCTCACATAGCTTCACCCCTGATCCAGCAAGGGACCCGACAATGCCAGGGAGTCCTTAAAATCTAAGTCTACATCAACAGAGGAATCCTCGACCGAGGCTAGCGAATTTGCCTCTGAGGAGACGATGTGCCAGCTCTACCTGCACAGACTCCAGGATCGCCTGATAGCCTCTCTGCTCCAACTGGCCATTCAGTGACTGCGCTACCGTCCAGTCCGGCCGTGGCCCTTTTTAGCCCTACATGAGGATGGACATTTGATGTTCCTGAGTTGGAGCTCGAGTCTCTTCCTCTATCTCATGAGGAGAGGAGAGTGAAAAGGAGGCATGTCTCACCACAGCCTCTCTATGAGCAAGCATGAGAGAGACTGGTGAATCATCGATGGATGATTGTTTCAAGGGGCTCATCCATACAACGGTTGGGCTCTTTCGCCCTGTCCCTAGGAGAAGAAGGGCCTCCTGTTGCCCCGGTCACCTTCCCTGACTGTCAGTGATTCTTCCTGACATGGGAAGAGCCTCTGAGTGTGAGTGCCGCACACCAACCCTCCTTCGTGCGCTTGCTCATGTAGCTGCGACTTCCAGAGGGAGCTGCACTCCAAGGCTGCAGATGTGCCGGCGACATAAGGTAAGGCTTGAGTTTCCCTTTGGGGATACAATGGGCTCCTTCAGCTCCCGCAGCTAGCCCTACGTGCCAGTGCTTTGCCCGTCTGGGGTAACGCCCTTGGGTGTTTGGTGTAATGGCCCTCATCTATCAAAGGGCCTATTCACGTGGCTGCTATTTCTAAAACCAGTGAGGTGCCAAGGCAAAAGCTTTCTGGCAGCATTTGACAGCCTTAGTTTGCCTTTGAAAGGGGGCCCCTGCAACTCCCACCATTAGCCCTGCTAGGTAAAGGTAAAGGTTCCCCTTGACAATTTTTGTCCAGTCATGTTC